GGAAGAGAGGGAGCAGAAGGCGGGGCTGAGGGCCTCCAGCAGGTGGGAGGAGCCTGGGAAGAGAGGGAGCAGAAGGCGGGGCTGAGGGCCTCCCGCAGGTGGGAGGAGCCTGGGAAGAGAGGGAGCAGAAGGCGGGGCCGAGGGTCACAGCCGGTGGGAGGAGCTTGACTGCAGTAGGGAGAAGGGGCAGGCTGACAGGTGCGAAGACAGAGAGGTGGGGGCAGATCATGTGGGGCCAGGGCCACAGTGAGGGTTGGATTTATTTTTATTTTTATTTTGCCTAGTGGGGTTCATCAAACGGTGCCAAGCAGGGGACGGTCATTAGCAGAGAACGACAATTGTCAGCTCTTCATCAGTGAGCATTCATTGTGCCCACCACCTTGTAGTGACTCCCTGTTTCACCCCGCTTGGCACACCGTCTACCTTCCCGGTGCCCCGTGATCCACAATCCAACTCCTTCTCCATCTTCTGCTGCACGGACCCTAGCCAGCTCCTCTTGGAACTCTGCCCAGGAGGCTAGCCTGGGCCGCCCCTGGAGCCTGAGGTGGGGCTAGCCTGGATGCGTGCTCATCATTCAGTGGCTGTCCTTGTTTAGTATCAGAGCAGAGGGGGGACCCGATGCCAGGGCAGCCGGGAGCAACAACCCGGTAGAACCCCATCTATTCCTTCAGGCCCGCGTCTCCCTGTGCTCCCCACGCAGCCCCTCCCCTGTATGTCTGCCCGCTTCTCTCCAAGGCCTCACTGGCCTGCACAGTTGTCCCTGGCTGTGTGGCTCAAACCAGTGCAGTTCTGCCGTCTAACTCTGATCCCTCCTTTGCCCTGTCCCCGTCTGATCAACTCTGCCCTCTCTGTTTCACCCTCACCTCCCCACCCGTGATCAGAGACACCGACAGGACTGGGATGGAGCAGGTGCCACCCAGAGGGACCCAGAGCAAGAGCTGTGGGCACTCAGAGGCCACTTCTAGCAGATACAGGCTTCCCTGCTGGGTCTAGAAACTTCAGTGGGATTGAATCAGGTTGGGGAAGAAATGTATCAGGAGAGGCACAGAGAAGAGGCAGTGTTGGCAGGCAGCACCGAAGATCCGTGCACTCTGTGACTAGGGCTGGGCTCTGAGTAGGGCTTCAGGCTGGGCAGAGATGCTTAGATGACCAGATGACCAGTGACAGAGGAAGGAGTCCTGCCCCAAGAGCTCACAGTCCCGTGAAGTGGTCACATAGCCCTGCTGATGCCATATAGGAGGGTACCCCAGGCCATGGGGGCGGTAAGGGTGAGCTTTATATTTCTTTGGAGAGCATCTGGACAAGATGCACATAGAACAGGGCATTTGAGTAGGGGTTCTGAAGGATGTATAGGAGTTGGTAGGAAAGACAACTGGGAAAGGAGATTTCAGGGACAAAAAACAATGAGAAAATATTATAAAAATAGAAAATATTATAAAAATAGCTACATGATTTTACTGAGCAGCTACTTGAGTCCCTCACTGAGCTGGGTGCTCCCAGTTATTCCCTCCAGAGGTCCCAGCATGCTTTGTTCTCCAGGCCAGGAAGTTGGGCTCAGACAGGCTCAGGGGCTTGCCTGAACTCTGCTTTGCTCTGCTACCTGGTACTGCAGGGCAGGGCGTTGAAAGAGGCATTGATTTAAGGCGACCCTGACAGTGAGTTGTTCAGTGTGCTGCCCTAGGGGCCTTGCTTGCCTCACCCTTTTCGAGGCCCTGGGGCCCGGGCAGAAAGGTCACTGGAGGGTGGCTGGAGAAGCAGGCCCATGAGGGCCCAGTTAGGAAAGAGCTTGTCAGCTACGTGTAGGAGCCCGGATCTTGATCCTGTGGGCGGTGGGAGAGGGGGGGATGGGAACTGACACGGAAGACGACCGTCTGCAGCCTTTTGACAAAAAAATTCACAGAAATGTTTGAAAAGTAAAAAAGAACTTCTAGGTATAATTTTCTCACACCTGTCCGTATCCTTCCCATTCGTTGTGTGCAGCCCTGGTCTTTTTGTGCTGAAAAAGCCATCAGAAATGCCCGCGAACAGGCAGAGCGGAGGTGACAGAGGGCCGTTCGGGGTTTCCGTCTCCAGCTATTGATTAGAGCATCCTCTGAGCCCTTGACCTTTGCGGTGTCTTGCTCCTGGAAGCTGGCAGGAGACACAGCCCGTGGCTCTGTGACATCCAGGGCAGAGGCTCCCCTGTGGTTTTGGTCCCCACCCACCGACCTTCCCTGCACCGCCTGCCGGATGCTCTGCACGGTGCAGGGGCGAAGTGAGCTGGGCCGGCCCTGGGGATTTAGGTGGAGGCTGGCCAGAGGAAACTTCCGGGGTGGGCCTGGGGGGCAAAGTTGGGGTGCAAGAGACAGACCACATTTTATGCTTTTATAACTCATCTTTTGTTCTGAGCCCTAGTGGCAGGAACCGCATCTGCCTGGGACAGGAGAGAGATGGGGGGGTCCCAAAGGTACAGGACTGGGACAGAGCTGGGCAGTAGGATGAGGGACTTTGGGGTCGGGGGGCGGCTGGAAGGCAGGGCATGCCTCTTGGGACATGTGATCGGCTCTCTGCTTCCCTATTTCAGAGCTGGGGGCTCTGGGCCCAGCAGGAAGGGCAGCCTCTCAGCCAGTGTCCATGGGGACAGCTAGAAAGGTTGTCAAATGTTTAAGTCCTTCCAGACTGGCTGGTAAGTAGCTGCCAGCCCACCACTCCATCCTCTTCCCGGCTCCCCGGGCCCACCCCAGCCCAGCTCCTACGGAGCTAATGCTTGGTTAGCTTGGTTCGCTACGGTGACGCTTGGGTCATGTTTGGTTCCCACCCTGCACCAGGGCCACGTGGGATCTGATTAACCAGTGAGCGTGTTGGTGGGCAGCCTGGTGAGACGGCCAGCCACAGACTGAGCCCAGAAGAGCCGGTCCTGCTGTGTGGGAGCCTCCGTGCATCGGGGAGGGCCCGGTTCTTCGGGGCAGCAGGGAGGGGATGCCGCCTGGGGAGTCGCTCACTGTGCACTCTGTCCTTGAGTGGGATCGTCCGCTAGGGGCAGCAGGCTGTCACCTTCAGGAGCCATGTAAGCAACTTCCTGTGTGGAGCTCCTGGTCCGAGACAATAGGAGGTGGCTGGCGGGTGGCACATGAGACTCAAGCTCCATCTCTGGCGAGATTTGATTTTGCCACAATCCAGCAGGGCTCAGCCGCGAATGCCCAGTGTGGCATGGGCAGAGGCCCAGGGCCCCAGGCAGTGCCCAGCCTCGTCCAGGACACTGCCCAGCATGTGCAAGCATCTTAGGACACCCCGTGGTCCGGGCGTTCAGCATCCCCAGTAGGCGGCAGTGGGGTGCTGCACAGCGAGTGCCGCTCTGGGTTCAAATCCCCATCCGCCACTTTCTTCTAGCTCTGCGTCTTGGGCATGGTTTTTAGCCATCAATGCCTCAGTTTTCCCGGCTATGAAATGGGAATGATAGTGGTACTGACCGGATGTTTTTATCAGGAGGTTAGATGAGGTAATGCGCGGTAGGGCTCTGCACAGAATCTGGCTGAGAGTAAATGGTCAATAAACGTTGTTCCAAAAGCTGCTCCTTCCCTCCTCGGAGGGTCCATTCAGGTGTTTAGTTACAGGTTTGATGAAAGAATGAAGGAAGGACCATCCAGCGAGAGCCCAGGATGGGAACAGAGTTGTCTATTATTCTGGCCCGTGGGGGCGAGCAGCCCTGTGATGGCCGTCCATTCTCTGTCCCCGCAGTGTTCGAAGAGCCCGAGGACCCCAGTAACCGCTCCTTCTTCTCGGAGATCATCTCCTCCGTGTCGGATGTGAAGTTCAGCCACAGTGGCCGGTACATGCTCACCCGGGATTATCTCACGGTCAAAGTCTGGGACCTGAATATGGAGGCGAGGCCCATAGAGACCTACCAGGTAGGTGCTGCAGCCCCTCCGCGGGGTGGGAGTCCCCCCGGCCTCCTTTCCCTGTGCCCAGAATCCCCCCAGAGGGGACGTCCCTTGCCGCAGAGGTGGCTTTCATACTCCCGTATTGGAGGTGAAGGCACTCAGGCTCAGGAAATCAGGCAGTCCGTCTCCAGCCCCCCAGCTCGGCCGAGAGCAGAAGCACTTGCTCGGTCCTGCCTCGCGGGGTCAGTGGGTGCTGTCCGCTCACTGGCCTCTGTGACCCAGGACCCAGGGGAACAAGGATGAGCATCGTCAGGCTCGGCCCAGTTCGAGGGTTCAGGTGACTAAGGGTGTGGACGCGGTCCCTCCTCGGAGCCGGGGGCTGCAGCCCAGGTTAAGGAAGGAGAAGAGCTGCCCTACCCCCGGGGAGCACCCCTCCTGAGCGTGTGCAGGAGGCCGGCGGCAGGGGGATGCTATGTTTCTAGATCCTCAGGCACCGGCCTTGGAAGCCAGGCACTGAGGCTGAAGCAGGAGACCCCTCCCTGGAAAGGTATTTACTGACCAGTTTCCTGTTGTGATCCACCCAGCTCTATTAGGGGTGGAAAACAAAATTCACGGGATGTTAGAGGAAGACCTCACCAGAAGCCCCGGGCAAACCCTCACAGTGTCACCAAGTATTAGGTGCCCACAGGGGGTCACGCACTTACATTTGTCACCTCTGTTCCTTACTGTCCCCACAAAGTGGGCACCATCAGCTCCACTTGGCGGGAAGGGATCCCGGGTGCCAAGACGCAGGACAAGTGGGACCTGCCCTTGCAGCTGGGCGGTGACGGATGCAGAGCCCTCGGAGCCCTCCAGCCCCTTCCCTGTCCTCCCTCCCTGCCAGGGCCTGGAGTAGGGGTATCCCAGGAGGCAGGGGGGCCTCACTGGGAAGGGTGCAGAGCTGCGGGGAGAGACCGGGAGCTCAGTCTGGAGGCCATATGCCCACAAGGACTTCTGATCCCTTCAGACCCTTCCCTGAGCTTCTACCTCTTCCTGGGAAGGGCTCATGGAAGGGCCGTCATGGCTCCTGGTGGCAGCCCTATTGCTAGCCACATGTTTACCTGAGGTCCTGCCCAGTCCCCCAGTTGTCACCTAGGCCCCTCTTCACACTGTCCACCCCAGGGGGAATCAGCCCCTCCCCTGACCCTCAGGAGATGGCAGAGGCCGGAGATTGGGGCAGACATGGCACAGCCCCGGCTCAGGTGCAGGAGTGACCAGCCCCTCTTAGAGCCAGCCGGCGAATGACTGTCCCTACGTCCACAGGGCCCCTCAGCCTTCCGAGGCCCTGGAGTCAGTAAAGGCCCACAGACCCTGAAACTAGGTGCTATGTTTAATACAGGCATTTTGCGGGGAGAGGGTCCATAGCCTCCAGAGATCTTCAGAGCATATGAGGACCCAATAAAGTGGAAGGAGACTGTTCTGGAGATAAGGCTGAGAGCCGGTGCTTGGCTTTTGGCCTGCTGGCCTGTTGATTCTAAAATCACAATAGTTCTATAAAACCAACACAGTAACTAACATTTTTGGCTATTATGCTCTAGAATTGTGTTCAGCAGGGTTGTGGTTGGCTGACTCACAGTGCTGAATGCATAGGGACTTCTCTCCCTTCAGAAGAAGTCTGGAAGGGGGCATCCAGGAACAGCAAGTGGCTCTGGGACCTCCTTGGTGTCCCAACAGCTCCTCCTGTGATCCAGTCCACCATCATTTGTATATCGGTTCCCTGCTTTCATGTGTGACACCTCCTGGTGGCAAAATAGCTGCCCCACCTCCAGGAACTATGCCTGCATTCCAGGAAGGAAATAGGAGGAAATGTGAGAGTCCGTGCTGGTTGGGTCTGTTGGATGTTTTCTTGGGAGCACAGAAGCTTTCCCAGAACACTCCTCAGAAGACTTCTTACAAGTTGTTGGCCAGAATGCGTCTGTGACGAGGCTGGGGCATGAGTAGTTTTACAGCCTCTCTGAGGAGGGTAGGGGAGAGGGGTTGGGGATGGGTGTTGAGTGAGCCAACCCTCAGCATGCGCTGCCTTGAGCTGAGTTCTTGGCACACTTTTCCTCTTCTAAAGCCTCACAGCTGCCCTGGGAAGTGGGGCCAGTGTTCTGTCGACTCCAGTTTATTTGGAGAAAATGGAATTAAATGGTGTATCTGTGGGAGCAGAGCTGACAAACCGCACACCTGGGATGGCTTTCCCGGGAGCCCACGCTCTTCCTTGACCTGCCATCAGAGGGCGCTCCCCCTCCAGGAGAGGGAGCGGGAGACCGGTTCGTGCCTGTGCTCGGACGCGTGCATCAGTGAGGCTGCTGAGGCCACACAGGGAGAGGAGTGCACACAGCAGGGCAGACCTGGAGGGGTTGAACCCGAGCCCCCGAGAGTTTGTCTGTGGGCGGCAGTGAAGCCAGGCACCATTTATCCCCACTCATCTGAGTCGTTACACGTATTCGGCAGGTGTGTTCTGTGCCTGGCTAGACCCTGGGCTCAGGGGGAAGTAGGAGTCGCAGCCTCACTCTCCAGGGTCCTGGATGACAGGCACACAGCGAGCGTCGGCGTGGCGTGGCCTCGGGCCGGGGGGCTCGCCGAGGGGGGGAGGCTCCCCAAGGCGGGCACCTGTGTGAAAGAAATAGCACCCTCGCACATCTGTTTCTCATTTTTCTCGGGGACTCACAAGCAGGCCAGTGTCCCCTCAGAGGCAGCCTGTGGCTGTAATGTCACCTGGCATGATTCCTCCTGCCGGGGTTCTGTGTCGCCTTTCCCCTGGCCGTGCCGGCTCCCATGGAGGCAGGTGCTCCCCCCGGCCCCCCAGCCACGCTCACCATGGGAGGAGGGCGGGAGTCCCTGACCCAGGGACTCCAGCCCAGGTTTGGGCCGTTTCCAGGTGTCCTGGAGCCCTACCCTCTGCTTCCCTCCCTTTAGGTCTTGGAGATGCACAAGACCCCCACGCCCACCCCAGCCTCCTCTCTTGGGTCCCTCGCATAGCCCCCTGGGCCCTCCCCTTCCTGCTTCTCGGCCTCCTTCTCAGCCCATTGCAAGGCTCACCCTTCTCCTGCTAGCCTCTGGCTGGGGATGCAGGCCCATCCTCTCCCCACTGCGTGCCCTGGCCCGGACCCAGAGCCTTGCAGCTCCTGGAGGGCCACGAGTCAAGTCTCTAACCCCACTCATTCATTCTAAAAAGTGCATCGAGCTCCTGTGATGTCCCAGGCCCTGTGCACCCCACTGGCAAACTGTGAGGAACAAGACAGATCCTGCCTCGAGGGGCGTCCGTTCCAACAGGAAAGATGGCCGGAAACCAAGCAAATAGACAAAATAATCACAGGCTGCAAAAAGTGTGACAAATAAAGCAAACCAGGGGCTGAGGCAAAGAAAGTAGGGGTGCTGGAGCCTGAGGGGGGTGAGGGCATCAGCCATCCGGGGGGAAGGTGCTCCCGGAGGAGGGAGCAGTGGGTGCAAAGGTCCTGAGGCAGGCACATGGTTAGCGTGGTCAAGGAATGGTGGGGGGCTAGCTGGAGCAGCGTGAGCAGTGGGGAGAGAAGAAGAGTCTGAGGTCAGAGAGGTGATTGGGGGCAGAGCCCAGGGGGTTTGTGAGCCCTGGAGGGTCTTGAGCAGCGGTGTGACATGATCCAGCTTGGTTTCTTACGGGTCTCCCTGGCTGCCCATGGAGAGAGACTGGGGCTGGGGGGCATGGGCAGACACGGGAGAGCAGTCAGGAGGCGTTTGCCACGAGCTGGGAACTGGTGCTTGGAGAGGAAGCTGCACAGGACGTGGGGAGAAGCAGCTGGGCTCTGGATCACTTTGGCTTCTGGACCAGCTGCCTGTGGGGTGGGACTGACAAGAGGTGTGGGGAGGGATGCTGTTGTTGGTGGCCTTTGTGCCGGGAAGGCTGGGGGACGCTGGAGTGACCAGGGGCTCAGCAGTGGGCAGCCTCGATGGGCCCCTTGCCCACCCCCTTGGCAGCTGGGTGGTCCCCTGTGTGCTTCGTCGTCAGAGCATGGAGGGGATCGCACAGGAGTGCAGGCGGGGTTGGGGGGAAGGGCCGTGGAGCCCCCTTCGTGGGTGGGCGGGCAGGTGGGGAAGTCACCGTGTGAGACCGGGGCGAACCTTCGGAGGGGAGGGGGTCCGCACGAACACAGAAGGAGCCACAGATGCCCCCGACACTCCGGAGGGGACGGGACGGTTCAGCCTGGGGACCCGTGGGAGCGGCCGGTGGGGCACCCCTCCTTTTAAAGATGAGTAAGAGGCTCCCAGACAGAAACGGATGACCTTTTCTTTCCCCTCCCCTCCCCCCTCCCTGCCCCTGACCCTTGGCTTGTGGCCTGAGTCGCTGCCCAGGAGGAGTTGAACTGTATTTCTGTCTGTCCCTCCAGAGTTAATCAGGGTCCCAAATACCTATCGGTGCCTTGCTCCGCACTTGTCTGCTTGGGGGGGGGTCTCGTGACCCCCTTTCGAGGTGGGAAACCTAAGGCTCACAGAGGTTAAGTGACTCTCTGGGTCACACAGGCGTTCGGGGTTGGGTTACCGCCATCCCCTCCGCTTGCCCCACCCAGGGGGCAGGACCACACCGTCTGCAGGGAGCCGGCCCCCACGAGGCCCTCTGGGTGTAGAGCTTGGGGATCAGGCTGCTGGGAGGTGGACGCGGCCCCAGGGGCATCGCCATCTCTCCCGTGGTATCAGGTGACTCTGGAAAAGGGTCCTGGTCTTCCACTTATAAGCTGTGTGACTTTGGGCCAGTTACTCACCCTCTCTGAGGGTCAGTGCCTCATCCACAAAACAGGACAAGTGACGCCTACTGAGATCATGTTCGAGAGGAATGTGTGCGTTCGCCTTCCCCTTTCCTCCATGATTTGTGCTCAGGGTGACTGTTACTATCCTCAGAGGGCAAGACCCTACACCAGGCAGCCTCCTTGGGTTGATCCCACAACAGCCCATGAGGTATGTGCTCTTTATCACTCGAAGGAGGAAGAAACCAAGGCTCAGAGAGGTGAAGTCACTTGTCCAGGATCACACAGCTGGGGGAGGGGCGGAGCCGGGATTTGGTCCCTACGGTGTGGTTCCCTTTGTCACTGTGACTGTCCCCTCTCTGGCCACAGCTCAGGGGTCAGCCGTGACAGGCGGTGGGCCCTTCTCAATAAGCAGGGCTGAGTTGGGAGGGCCATCTGGACTCCCCCGGGGGCACAGCCCCTCACTCTTCAGGGAGACCCTTCTCGCTGCAGGGGCCAGGACCCCCCCTGCCCCAGCTCAGCCTGCGCCTTCTCTCACTAGGTCCATGATTACCTTCGGAGCAAGCTCTGTTCCCTGTATGAGAACGACTGCATTTTCGACAAGTTTGAATGTGCCTGGAACGGGAGCGACAGGTAACCCCCAGACCTGGGACCGAGGCCCCCTCGCTGGGCAGGGCCTGGGCTGCTGACCTAGCATCGTGCGAATGTGCTGTTCGTGAGCCTTGTTGAGTGACGGTGTCGGAGGGGGGCCCACGGCTTCTTGCGGCGCCCAGAGCCCTCAGCCCGCCCACGCTGGGGCAGGATAGGACGCCGCTGTCCATGACTACACCTGCCTCCACCCTGAGCCCTGGTCTCCTTAGTGGAAACTGTCCGTCTGGGTCCCTAGCCACACGGCCACTTCCCTGGGTTGTCGGGACTGAGGGCTGTACCTCCCTGGGGCGGAGAGCTTCAGCCAGTGGCATGCACCCTACCCCCACCCCGCATCAGAGCTGCACCCTCCTCTTTCTGGCAGCTCCCCTAGGTCAGGCCTGCTGGGGCAGCGGGGTGGGGGGCACATTCCAACTCACCCACCTCTGGGGCTGGCAGGGGTTCCCCAAGTCCAGCCACGTCTCACAGCCCCACCCACCCAGGAAATGGCCTGATGTGAGCTCCCGATTCCCCATTGCTGGCTCAGCCCAGGGCAGGTCCAGACAGGAAGGCCTACGCTGAGACCATAGGGTGGGGGTGGGGAGGAGGGCCCAGAAACCACAGGGACAGGCCGGGAGGGAGCCACCTGCACACAGGCTGGCCCCACGTGGGGCTGGGCCACCGTGTCTGGGGGTAGGGATCCCCTAGAGCTGCTGCTGACATCCTGGGGCTCCCCTGGCCCACAGGGGTCTCTGAGCAGGGCAATGCTCTCCATCAGACACCAGCATGCTGATCACAGGAGGTCTGTCCAGTAACATTTAGAAAACCAGGGTGGGTGGAGGCCCTGCCTTGAGACCAGGCTGACACAGAGGGTCAGAAGGGACACATGGTATTCCCTCCAGGTGCCTGCACTCAGGCTGACCCCCAGACACCCCCAGTCAGGACAGGGCTTCTCAGATACCCCTGAGCTGCAGACCCTGACACATTGGGGGCTCCCCAGTGAGCACCAGCAGTGGCTCTTGGGGTGGGGGGTCCATTAGAATCTCAGGAGAGAGACTTATTGCTGGCTAAAGGGGATTCCAACACTACTGGGGGGTTCTCCACTGGCCGTGACTGCTGCACGCCCTTCCTCCACGTCACCACCAGGGGGCACTCGTGAACAGACCACGCTTGGCTCCCAAGAGACGAGCCGCCAAGCTTGTCCTGGTTGGTGCCCAGCCTGGAGCTCAGCTCTGTTCCCAGTGCCTCTCATGCCACTTCCTGCCATGCACTTTACATGGCAGCCACCCCCATCCCTGGGGGTCCTGCCACTCCCCTTAGTGGTTCCCCTTCACAACCAGCTCTGCTGCCGTACCCTGAAATCCTGGCTGCATTGCACCTAGTTCACTCCTGGGGTCGCCTCAGATTACTGACTCAACTGAAGGCTGTCTCTTCCAGGAAGCCCTCAGGGCCCTCTCCATCTTGCTTCCCCCCCCCCCCCCCCCGCCCAACCTCCTGCATCTTCTATCTATGGCTTGGCATTTATCACGTTTTCTCCTTGCGTCTGCTTGCCTTCCCTGTTGGATGGGGTGCCCTTGGGGGTGTGACTGGGGCCCAGCCCACCCTGAGCTACTCCTTAGGGGTCTCAGGGCTGTCTAGTCAGTGGCTGTTAATGTTCCAGAAGGCATTGGGGTGGGCCACCTCCTTCCACTTCATCCTGAACACCTCCTCCAGGAAGCTCTCCTTGATCTGTTCTGCCTAGGACAAAGAGATTTGTGTCAACCAGGCATCTGCCAGTTGCAGAAAGTCAGACAAGCCTAAGCTTGTTCTGGGCAGGTATAGGCAAGGCTACCCCAGGGCTCAGGTGTACCCTGGGACCATCGCTTGCGCTGTTCCCATCTCTGTGCCTTCCTACCTCTCCTTACACAGTAGCCTCACCCTGTCCTGCAGCTCCCGTCGCTGCTGGGGCTGACGCTCCTAAATAGTTCCCCTGGCGTTGACCTCACCGCCCACAACCCTCCCGGTGTCTATGGGAAGGTCTCTTGGAGGGTCGGATTGGCTTCAGGTTCCGGGCTTACTTTCTGAGCCAGTCAGCCTGGACACGATTGTTGGATACCTCGCTTGGCCAGCAGGGGGCGTGTAGAGCCCGGAGCTCCACAGTCCCTCAGCTGTGCCCAGTGCAAAGAGCCCTGGGGACAAGAGCGGTGACTGAAGTCCCCCCCCCATGCAGATGAAGAAAATGAGGCGAGCAGAGGTGAAGCAACCTGTCTAGACACAGTCCAGCGGCAGGGGCTTTTTTCTGTTAAGGGAACCTTCTGGAATGTAAGCAGTGGGCCATTCTGTCCTGGCGTGGTTTGCAGGGACCTGGGACCTGGTGCTCTGAGATGAGAGAGACCCCCCTCCTTGCAGGTGGGGAGGGGGCTCCCTCTTCTGCCCAGTTTTGTGGGTTGCCAGTGACTTTAGTGACCTCACTCGGCCTTCCCCTTGGTGGATCAGAAGCTGGGGTAGGGCACTGGGGGCAGCTGCCTTCCCATTTTCTCTGCCCTCCTGGCCTGGAGGTGGGGGGGGGTGCTCCAGCAGGACCCTTCCCTGAGAATCATGCCTCATCCACTCTTTCCTCCCACTGCCCTAGTTGGGGCACCCTGTCTCAGGCCAAGCCGGGCCTTCAGGCCAGCGCAACGATTAGAATCAAGGAATACCTCTTGGAGTTTCCCGGGCCCCACACTGCCCCGTTTTACCAAGAATCCCATACCATGCTCACCAGGAGTTGGGGTTCCTCGTTACCCCCCTTTTATTGATGGAAAAGCCTGCATGAAGGTGGGGGACACGTTAAGGGCAGAGCTAAAACTTGGACCCGGGGGTGCTGGCCCGAGCACCTGCCCACGATACCTGGGCTCGGGGCGTGCTTTTGCCTTTAAGGCCCAAGTAAAGCAGGTGGAGAGAGAAAGGCCTCTGACCCCATTTTTTACAGTGAGGGCCAGGCACCAGCCCCTGACCGCCCAGAGCCTGGGGCTGCCCCACCACGTTCCTGACCCCAGTCTGAGCTCCGCAGCAGCTGCTCTGGGCCCAGGGAGGGGAGGCCTTGGCCCCATGGGGATCTCAGACTCGCCGTCCAGTGTGGGTGTTGGAAACCACAGCTGCGTCCTGGCCCCGGGCTCCTGAGTCTGCCCCCGAGGAGGACTGCTGTGGGTTTTGTGAGCACCCCGGGTGGGTCTGTGGCCAACAGGTGGCCCCTCTCCTCTGCAGGCTCTGGGAGTGACCACCGAATAGGGCAGCCCGGTGCAGGGCGGAGGTCACAGGGTGAGGCCAGACGAAGGAGGGGGCGCCACAGCTGCTCGCCCTGGGGGAAGGGGAGAGCCCCCCTTCTCTTGCTGGCATCTCAGCAATGTCCCCTGAGTCCCAGGGCCGGGCACAGTCGGTGACGAGGAGGGAGCAAAAGCAGGAATCACCTTCTAATAAAGCTTGCGGCCAAGGGCATCTGGGCCATCAGCATGGCCTACCTGTGCATTTGCTGTGGGCTCCTGGCAGGTGGGGGCCTTCCCCGTGGCCCAGCCTGGCACAGCACCTGACACCTGGGGGCACCCGCTGTGCGAGTGAGGGGGGCATCTGGCAGGGCCACAGGCGGGTCCCCCTGACTCCGCCCTTGTCTGCTGAGCCAGACAGGCATGATGGGTTGCTGTCCTGGGTTGGGAGGTCAGAGTTCATCCCAGCTGGTGACCCCCGAGGTCTGAGCATCCCCCTCTGCAGGGCGCGTGGCACAGTCTGCCCCTAACGTGCTTCCTGTCTGTGCAGGTATGAGCCTGGCATCTGCAGATTCCAGTCTTGGGACCCCCAAGAGCACAGGGCACCAGGGACACAGCAGAAATGGGACCCGGTGCCTATGTGGCAGGACCCTGTGGTTTGCAGGGCACAGACTAGAGCAAAGCTCAGAGGGAAGCCCTGGGCAGGAGGGGAGTGGCTGGGGGCCCATCAGGGGAGGGATCTGGGGATGGCCTCCTGGAGGAGGTGCCCTCAAGTCTCAAGAAACCAGTAGAAATTTGCCCACAGAGGGTGGAAGGGCACTGGCGCATAGGGAACAGCATGGCAAAAGCCTCAGGAAAGGAAGTGGCCATAGCTGATGTTGAGGGCCAACGGATGTGGCCATAGCTCGGTGTTGAGGGCAGAGGTTAAGTCTCAGGGTGAATAGGGGCTCTCGGGCGTCCCTGGGGTGGGTGCTGTGAGAGAGTCCAGCATGGGGGATAATGGGCTTGGGGGTCAGAAGCAGGGGGACCAGTGAGCAGGCTGTTGCAGCCGTCCCTCGGGGCCAGAGACAAGGGTGATGTGGGCAGTGAAGGTAGAGGAGAAGGCTGGAGTCAAACCACCCTCAGGGCATCTGAGGATGGACAAGAGCTGGGTCGCGTACACCCTTGGGGGTGGCCCCGGGGGCCGGGGTTTCCCATCCACCGTCCGCCACAGAGACCCGGGTGGAGCCTTCGAGAAAACATACCCCCTTTCTGGAAAGCAAGAGATGTGTGCGGAAACTCCCCAGTGGGGTCGTCACCTCCTGGGCTGCATGAGGATCTGTCCCTGAATGTCCACTCGTTATTGCAAGAGTTAACCAACGAGCCCCCTGCAGCCCCCTGCTCATCAGCCTCGGGACTCTGGCACTGGGCCGCAGGGTGGCCCCTCTTGCCCCTCAGCCTCGGTGGCAACGCTGACATCATCTGGTCCTGGTCCCCAGCTCTGTCCTCCAGCACGGGCCTTCTAAAGCCCCTAACACGGGCACTCCACGGGCTGGGCCCCGGGAGCCCCCTGGACTGGCTGGCGTCCCTCGGTCTCCAGTGGGCTCCCTGGGGCCTGATGTAGGGGGCCTGCCTTTCCGCAGGAGAACCGCTCTGGGTCTCTGACCTGTTGCCCACTGTCCCCTTCCCGTGGCCTGGTCTCAGTTCTGAACTGCAGCTCGAGGGAGGGCACTCGGGTGATGGCCTGGCCTGGCCCAGGGTCCCACGCTGGACTGTCACCTGTTGGCTGCGGTGGCCAGACGCCTGGATTCCGAGGGCTGCCACTGGCCCGCACGCCAGCTCTGAGGGCAGCTCTGTGACAAGCCCCGTGGGCTTGGGTTCCAGTGACGAAGTCACCAGCCCACTCCCCGTTCTCACACGGGGGGATCCGTGCTACGCGGGAGAGGCCTCACGGGTCACAACCTGGGGCGAAGTTCGAGCCAACCCGGCCGTCGTCGGGTCGAACTGATGTGTGAGGAGAGGGGCTTCTCCTGGAAGGTGGGAGCGGGAAGGCCTCTCCCCACACAGCGCGGCCCTGCACCTCCCCACGAGCCATGTCTTTGTCTCTACAAGCAGCGGGTTTGTTCCCATGGATTAAGGTTATATAGGCAGAGTTAGGGAACAGAAGAGCGTAGAGCCAGACTGCCTTCCCCTCCAGAGATGCCACAGACCTCCAGAAAAGGCTGAACTGCCTGGCTGCGCCCCTCCCCCAGGCACAGCTACAGAGAGGCCCCTCCGCCCGCGCGGCCCTGTCCCGGGTCAGGTGGAGAGTGGGGGTGGGCGAGGCGGCCTGCTGCTTTCCTAGGACTCCCCCCGGGGGGAGTTGGGAAGGCCTGTGACCCTTCTGCTGCATTCACTCACTCATACCCGCAGATACCCCTAGAGCACCCACGGGGTGCTCTGAACTTGCACGTGCCGCAGTGAACAAGAGAAGCTTCTGGCCCTTCCTTCCCTACGGTTCGCAGAGCATCTGTGGCCTTTTCCCCGAGCACCAGGCCAGGGTGCTCGGCTTGGCCCCGTTGTGTTTGCGGCTGAGGGTTGGCATTTGCTGCCCCGATGAGGCCAAGCCAGGCCCTGGGGCTCAGACAAGACACACCTGCCCCAGGAGCCCCCACCGAGTGGTAGAGACAGGCCCCCCCCCCCCCCCGACGCTTGCCCGCGGTGGCTAGCGCCGTGAGGCGTTCCCCGCCTGCCCCTCTGGCTCCCGACCGCCAGGGGCTGGCTCGACGGCCGCCGTGCCCTCTGGCTTGAGGCCAGCTTTAACCAGTGGGGACACCAGAAGGAGGTCTGAGGGCAGCAGAGAGAGACAGGGTATTTGTCCCACCTCCCTCCTTGTCCTCTGAGCCAACTGTGTCCCTGTGGGCACAACTCTAGTCAGCCACCTCTCTCTGTCTCTGTCAGCCTTCCTCCCCTCACCCCTCAGGCCTGGGGGGATGTTGCAGCCCCAGGGCTCGGCACTTTCCCTGTGGTTCCCTTAGAACCTTCCAGAACATTTGTGCATAACCTCTTTATGGAGCTCCTCTCCAGTCACCCACTTGGCATGTGCCCTCTGTCCTCTGCTGGGGTCCAGGTGACCCCCGCCTGGGTCTGCCTGGACACCCCAGGAACATCGCAGAAGAACCGCTTTCTGGAAGAGGTTTTCCACCCCCACGGCCCCCAAGCACCCTCCCCCGCCCACTGATCTCACAACACAAGGTCTGACAAAGCAGTTTGGGTGGCAGGGGGAGGGGACACCAGAGGGTGGCCCTGCGGATTGTGGACTCTGGCTCAAAGCCTCGCCTCGTGGGTGCAGGCCGTTTCCAGGAACCGCACGTGCAGGGCAGGCAGGGGAGGCCCCGAAGCCGCTCGTGGGTGGGAACCCAAAACCTCTACTTCCCTCCAAGACTCGCCAGGCGCCGAGAACCCGAGGTCCTTCCTGGGAAGGATCGGAACTCCGAGGGGCTGCCTTCTCAGTGGGAAAGGAGACAGACAGTTGTCGGCCCAGCCCCTGCCCTCTGCCGGGGAGATCGCTCCCCTCGGGCAGGTCCAGGAGCCAGGCCACTGTGAGGCCTCCCCACCACACACCCCGCCCCACCCTCTAGAAGGGGCTGACATTGAGAGATGGCCCACCGGCTCTGGTAGAGATGCTGCGGGGAGGGAGGCCCCGCGTCTACTCTCCTCGTGTGTGTTTAGCAGCCCACGTTCTCCCATGGAAGGGGACATGTCATTTTCAGCCTGTGACTCAGCACCATCCAGGGCCCCCGAACCCCCCCTCCCCCGCCGCCCCCCGGGAGCGTCTGACCTCCCACAGCCCAGGTGCCTGATACGAGAACGTCTCCCGGTCTGTCCAGGGGACGTCTGCCTCCGGCATCTCCTGCTCGTCTGCATTGTTCCCCTGACTTGGGCGATCTTGAAGACATGGCCTATGTGCATAACCCTTGTAAACTAGGGGTCCACGGGGCTCTGTCTCGGAGCAGTGACACCCCGAGAAACACGCTCAGCTTCCCAAGGGAGGAAAGGAGTTCCAATCTGTACGCACCCTCCTGAAGAACGTTGAAGGGGCCCTCATTTCCTGGAATGCCCTCCCTCCCCATTTTGCCCCCCTCTCCCTGCCTGGCTCCCTGCCTGGCTGCTCCAGGGCCTCTCCTGAGCCAAACCCCAAAACCCCTTCTCTAGGCCTAGGCCCCATAGCTGGCATCCTGGCTCTCCCAGCTCTTACCATGCAGACTGACATGGCCTTTCTCCCATGCCCCAGGAACCCCTTCTTCTTGGGGGAGGTGGGGGGGGGGAAAACGCAGTGGATCACGAATGTCAGATTCTCTAGCAGGACAGGGAAGTGCATGAACATCCGCACAGCACCCGTGTGCAAAGAGCATTTAGTCTTCACCCAGCTACTCACAACAGGAGGGTGCTGGGTGCCCGCGGTGAAGGGTGCGGCGGGTGGGGTCGGGGCCAGCCCTGGGTCGGCCTTGGAGCCTGCATTTGGGCCGGCGGCTTCTGTGTTGATTTGCCCTCGGCTTTCCCTCTGCTGGTGCCTAGTCTCTCTGGAAGGCCAGGCCTCTCCTGGAGGCAAGGGAGAGTACAGGAGAATTTTCTCCGTGGTGTCTGGGGTAGAGCATTAAGGGGTCTCAGGGGAGCCCGCGTGTGGATGGCAGCTGAGCTGTGAGGGAGGACCAGAGCCCAAGAGGAGGGAAGGTGGGGACCGGACCGTCCCTTCCCCTGGGGGAGGGGGTGGCCCTGCAGCCCCGGGTTTGTCCCCGGGGGCGTGGCACATTTCCACTGGCCTCCTCCCCGCCTGACGTCTCTCCTCCTCCCGCCAGCGTCATCATGACAGGGGCCTACAACAACTTCTTCCGCATGTTTGACCGGAACACCAAGCGCGATGTGACCCTGGAGGCGTCGAGGGAGAGCAGCAAGCCCCGGGCCGTGCTCAAGCCGCGGCGCGTGTGCGTGGGCGGCAAGCGCAGGCGGGACGACATCAGCGTGGACAGCCTGGACTTCACCAAGAAGATCCTGCACACGGCCTGGCACCCGGCCGAGAACATCATCGCCATCGCGGCCACCAACAACCTGTACATCTTCCAGGACAAGGTGAACTCCGAGATGCACTAGGTGCGCGTGGAGCCCCGTCCTGGACACGAGCAGCGCAGCCCGGAGCGGCCCTGTCCCTCCGTCCCAGGCGGCCTCTGCTGGTCACACTCTCTGTTTGGAAACAGGAGTCAGGAGGGCTCATAGCCACAGACCGTGAAATGGACGTGATCGTGGCCTTGGGGTCCAGGCCCTTCATTCCCGTACTTAACCGTGAGCTGCCTGTTCCACGATTAGGACTTAGACATCTCCGGGTTCATGCTTCTCTTCTTCCAGCAGCAACTTTCAGGGGAAGTGGGCATCCTGGGCACCCCCCTCCCCCGGGCCCTAGATCAGGGCTCTGGGGACAGAGGACAGACTCAAGCCAGCCAGGGATTCTTTTGGTTATCAATGGAGCAATTTCCACTGTCTCAGAGCCGAGGGTCTTCCCTTGGCCTTTTGGATCGTGAATTCATGCTGAGAATTGGCAGGTGCAAGCTCCTCTTTTAGGGTCTTTTAGTGTCTTTCAATACCCCAGGTCCGGCGTTTCCTGAGAGGAAAGGGGGCACTGAAACCCGCCTGTGTGTGTGTGCTTGTTCTTCTCACCGTGTACCCAGCCTTTGCTGAGCGTGGGCCAGGGGCCAGGCACGGTGCTCGGCCCGTTAGGCGCGTGGATTCAGTCCCCACTCCGCGGGGCTCTCCTGTCCTGCTTCACGGTCACTGGGCACCTCGTGGGAGCTCACATGGGCCCTGTCCGTGACCCTGTAAGGTGGGTGTCCGTTCACTTACTCCATAAACACCAGCCCCTCACTGAGTGCCAGGCTCTGTGCCAGGCGCCAGGGACGAAAGGTGAATAATTATCATCCCCACTATACACACGAGGCAACGGGCCCCGACAGAACGAACAGTTTGTCCAAGGCACGCAGCGACCAAGTGGTGGAGTCAGGAATCCCGAGCACTGGGCGCTTTCCGATCCACCACGTTGGCGGCTCGTGTTAAAGCAGTGTTCTTGCCTGGAAGGTTCTGGAAACACCTCTTCATCTTAGGAGGTGGGCGATGACGAGGGTCCGGGGCGACCCGAGCCGCAGCACGGAGAATGGAGAAGACCCCGGTGGTGCCAAGCTCTGTGTGGTGACTTCAGACCCCCACCCTCTTGGGGGCGCCTCGCTGCACCCACATCTGTACCCCAGCCCCTTGTTTAGGTGCACTGAGCTGCCTCCAGGAGGAAATTGCATGTTATGACCATTTCAAGATACATTTTCTTTAACGACCTGGCCTCGGAGGACTCTTTCCTGAGGGCCTCAGAGAATGCCTGTCTCTGCAGCACCTGCTCCTGCCACGTGGTCATGGAGACCGTCTCGCCCATCCCCCTACTCATCTTCTCTGCCTACGATTACAGCGAACCACTGGCTGTGCGTGGGATTCAGAGAACAGAGTGCAGAGGCCGAAGCCAACATTTTTTTTTTTTTTACAAGAAGTAACCCAACCCAGGAAACAGACCCACCCGAGATTTTTCTCAGTGGATAATGGTATACTTTCGTGTGTGTCAAAGCACAAAACGCATGTGCATTCACTTCTGGCCATATGATATTTACACAAGGAAATGAGTCCATTGTTTCGTTTTGGGTTTGTTTTTTAAATCAACATGAATGAAGAATGTTTGTTTATATATCACTGTAAAATCCAGGTGACCTGGACAGTATTATATGTACATATCTATTCTAATTAAAATTAACAATCACAGGATTGGATTCCTTTCTTCCCCCCCTTTGTAAAGAGGTTCAAGAATGTGGTACCTTGTATAGAAAACTTGTTGAAGCCAAAATCCAGCTCTGAGGGCCTTACACAATTACGCGGATATTTGGCACAATCCGTTTCCCTTTGTGATTCAGATGCTAAGAGGAGACTTGCTTTTGCAGCTGGAGGTTACTGTCAGATCGTAGATTTCACATTTACCGTCTACAGAGTAACAACCCTTAACACTACATTCAAAGGGAGGTCTTAATACAGTTCCTGGTTCTTTACTCCTGTTTTAAACTTTGGATACCAAGCCAAAAAGGAAAAGAAAGAAAGAAAATGATCTTAGAGGAAAAGCATGTCTTCAGATTCCTGGAAAATCGTGATATCCAAAGCAAGTTGTGAATAATGACACATGTTGGGGGTGGGGGGCAAGACTAGATGTATGTGGCAGACGGGCCAGTAAAATAGTCACAAACTCTGCTTCTTACTGTTTAAATTTTCTGCTCTTCTTGAATGTATGAGCGTTCACATAGTCATTGTGAAGTTGTTGGGTTGTTCTGTTTTTATTCTAATACTCTGAGGACTGAGCTCCCGGTGGCGTTGGGTATTGTGGTGGTAGGTAGACAGACCTGATCACTTTGGATTCCATAGCTCATGGGTGCATTCTGGTTTTCTTCGGTATCTCAGATTATTCAACTGTTGAATAAAATTATAAATATGTTAATACCAGCTTTTTCCAATAAAATAACAAATGTTACATCGAACATGAGACTCAGAATGCCGTTTGTTTCTAATGAGGCCAAGCCCAGGGCGGTGGGTGCTGGTTCACCTCAAGGCTCTGTGACCTCTAGCTCTTAATGAAGTTTTTAACCTTTATGAGCTCTGATTTCATCACTGGAGAAGTGGAGCTAACCTTGTGAATCGGATAGCACCTGCAAAGCATAGTGTCTGGCACATAAGCTCTCAATAACTGATGGTTGTTTTGCCCTTTGTTTTGTTTTGAAGCAGGTGCACATAGCCCACCATGATTTCCAGTATTCTCACACTCTGTCATGATCTTTTTCACCACTTCAGCATGAAGGTATGGTACAGATGAGGGCATGGAGGTCCAGAGAGGTTAAGGAAGTAGCACGAGATCACACATCATGTGTTGGAGCGGGTTTCAAGCCGCTGACCCACATACTCGTCTGAGCTCCATGTTATCCCTTTTGCAGGGGAAGAGGAGAATCCTGCTGTTATACCCACTTTACAGATAGAGAAACTGGGGCTCAGAGAGGTGAAGTGATTTAACCTGAGCCCAAATTCACAGAACCAAGGAGTGGTGGAATCCGGATTCCAACTCAGATGGTGAACGTGCCAGGCACATGGTGGGTGCTCAGAGGATGGTCAGGAACGTCATGGCCTTGCTGACCAAGCACCAGCTCGGGGCTGTGCACGTGTGACCTTGAGATGAGAGGTTATCCCGGGTCATCAGGCGGCACCCATCTGTCCCATGAGTCCTTGTCAGCAGAGAACCTCAGACGGAGAGGAGGCAAGAGATGGAAGGTCAGATGTGGTAGGAGGGTCCCACCTGCCATTTTTGGCTCTGAAGATGGGGGAGGGGGCAGTCCACAGGCCCAGGAACATGGGCGCCCCGATTTATTCCTCACTGACTCCCATAACAACTCTGAAATGCCCATCCTTACAGCCTTGATTTCTCAGAGGAGTTATCTGAAGCCCCGGAAGTTTAGGGCACCTGCCCAAGGCTCACTGCCCACATGGTAATGACCACACTAGTGACCACTGAGGGCCACCAACTCAGCCCTTTGCAGTCATTATTTCATGCCACGGTAGACCCACGTGGTAGGTAACTATTACTGCTCCTGTTCTAGAGATGAGGAACTCGAGGCTCAGAGAGGTTAGAGAACTTGCCCAGGACCACACGGTAAGGGCAGAGCTAGAACCCACGTGTCTGAGACTTGTGTCCTGTGCAGTCATAGGTTCTGGAGCTGGGGTCCGACCTTAATCCTGTCTTGACCTCAGTGCCTGGTTCTTCTGGCATCGACACCCCTGGGGCAAAGAGTGGCCAACTGCGTGCAGCTTGCAAAATCGAGAAACAACTTTATGATTTCTGCTGGTACTAGATTCCTTATTTACGTGCCCTGCAAAGTTGCCGCACGGGAACTTCTGCTACTTTTCACTGAAAGGGGGCCCTCTTGCCGAAATTCACACAGCCTCCTCGTTTTAACTTAGACGTGAAGTCCTCCAGGTTGGAAAGTGCCTGGGGAAGGCGTGTCCAGGGGTCAGAGCAGCTGTAAGAGCCGGACTGGTGGGGTCGGGGGGAACCCCGCTGTGGTCAGGGCCCTGCTGGGCACTTCCTTGTTCATCTTCTGCAATCCTGAGAGGGATCCCTGAGGAAGTGAGGCTTGGGCATCTGACAAACCCCAAGTCACGTAACTGGTGGCTGGTGGGACAGAGATTTGGGTGGTGCTCAGGCCCCTCCTCCAGCAGGACAACAGGGAGTCTCTGACCAAGAGGACAAATGATCTTGGCAGGAGCGGGAACTTGATGAGAGGGGACCGGGGGCCAGTGTAGGCGACCCCACGGCATCTTTTCAATCTAGCTTAGCTCTGGGCTGACTTGGAACATCGCCGTGGCCCCCTGGGCAGAAAAACTGCACTTGCCTTAAGCTTCGTTAAAGTAAACTGAGGCCGGAGTGACCAAAACATCTAGAAAAATACGACTGATTCAAGTAAGGAGAAAGTGTGGGGCCACCCCCCTTGGCTGGCAAATCCAACAGTCTAGGAGTCTTCATGACAACAGTTGAAGGCACCTGGGGACTTTTAAGGGGATTGGGGGCAAGATTCTGGACGAGACAGGGCTGCTGGCCTGGGGATATGCTGGGGGCACAGCTATAGGAGACCCGGGTTCAATCCCAGGTTTAATCGCAGCCTCGTCACTGACCAGCATATAGGCTGTATCTGTTTGTTATCTACTGCCACCTAACAAATGGCCCCCCAGTGTAGAAGTTTGAAACAACGGCCTTTATGGTCTCACACGGTTTCTGAAAGTCGGGAATCGGACATTGATGAGCCGGGTGTTTCTGGCTCAGGGCATCCTTCACCTGTGAAGAACTGACTGGGGCGGAGGTTCTGTTTCCAGGCTCACTTACACGGCTTGAGGCTTTGGTTCCTTGCTGCGTGGGCTGTCCCCAGCATAGCCTAATCACCCAGGGTGACCGATCTAAGATAGAGACAGCGCCCAAGCCGAAAGCCACGGTCTTTCTGTAATCTCCGAGGTGCTACCTTGGATTGGTCACATAGCCCCATCCTGGGGCCACAGGGCAAGAAGCTGCAGCAGGTGGTGGGGGTCACTGGGGGCCATCTGGAGACTGACTGCCACAGGGGTCCCAGCAAGCCACTGCACTTCTCTGAGCCCAGGGTTTGTTTATAAAGCAGTGACAATAACATCGACCGCACGAGGGGTTTTCGAGAGACTCAAGGGTGCTGATGTCCACAAAGCCACTGTCACTGCATCTGGCACGTGGGAGGTGCTGTGTCTCTGTAGAGACCTAGTCAGCCGTCCCCCGACCCCTTGCCCTGGGCCCACGTGCCCTCCTTGGAAGGGCTGACATTCCGAGGGCTCTTCCAGCTCTGTGGAGATTGGGAGGCAGGAGGGTGAGCTGACCCGTCACCGCTGGTCTCCCGGTGGCTCTCGGGGTCAGGTGTCCCTCAGCCTCACCCGGGGGCCCTCCCAAACCCCACGGCCCAGCCATCAGCATCTCGGACTGGGATTCATTCAGCACAGGAACTTTTTAAAGCTCATCAGAGGTGGGACGTCTGGGTGGTTCAGTCAACTGGGCGGCCGACTCTGGATTTCGGCTCAGTTGTCATTGCGGGGTTGTGGGATCCAGCCCCATGTCAGGCTCCGTGTGAGTGTGGGGTCTGCTTGTCCCTCTCCCTCTGTTGCTCGCCCTGCTCACTCTCTCTTGCACTTGCTCCCGCTCTCTCGATACACTAAATTAACAAAATCTTTAAAAAAAATAATAAAGCTCATCAGAGGACTCCACCGTCCTCAAGAGACCGGTTATTCTGTTAATTAAAAAGGAAAACAGTGCCTTTCTGGAGAGCAGGAAAAGCAAATGATCTATATTTTGTTGGGGGGAAGCTGAAAACTGTGTGTGGGACAGTTGATTTTCACCACTTCTGGAAGGAAAGACCCAGCGCCCTAGTCTTCTGTTCTGTTTCTCCCAGACCACTTTTCAGGGCCACCTGCAGAAGGTAACGACATGAGAAAAACTTGAACAAAGGCTTATCAGCTCTGGGGTGGTGTCCTAGCAACAGAAAAGCTTTTCATGCTTGAAATAATTGCCCAACTTGCAAGTGATTCATTTCAAACAGCCGTGTCCCCCCCTCCACTTTTTTTTTTTTTTTAAAACAAAGTCCCATTATCTCTACCTGGAGACTGTTCGCATTTCCACAGGGCCCACGCAGTCAGATGACATGATGAATTTCAGGGAGGAGGGACTGAAATCAGCAAAAGGCAATGGCAGTATTAGGACAAAGTACAAATGAAAATGGAAAGGAATCCATTATTAGAATTATGCAAAAGAGAAGTCTAAACATGCAAAATAGATATGAATGTTTGGAGCAGTGAATTATCCGTTTAATTCATCTGTAAAGCCTATGAGAGGTGCTGATGACCATCTTGCTCATGAACGTGCCAAGTAAGAGCTAACTTCACCTTGGAAGGATCATCTTTTCTTTTGGCAAATCTACTTAATCATTCGCCCGACGGAGGGCTTCTGAGCACCCACCGTGCGAGCAGCATGGATACCCCGTGGCTCCGAGCTGGGACACTGGAGCCCAGCTGCTGGGACTCACATCCTGGCTTTGGTGGATCCTTGGGGATGTTACCCCCACCTCCCACCTCTGTGCTTCTCAGTTTTCCCGCCTGCAAAGCATTGGAGAATGACAGTACCTAGCTCAGGGAGGTGGTGTGGGTTAAACAAGAGAATCTTTGCGTAAGTGGTCAGCCCATAGCCCGAGCTCCCTGGGAGCCTGTTAATGACATCGTCGCTGGTCCCTCCCACTGTGACCCCACCTTCAGCGCAGCCCTGTGGAACGCTGCATCATGGTCCCCACCATCCTTGGGGGACACCGGGGACAGTCAGTGCCCGTGCTGAGCATGAGGAGGGGGTCTCACTGAGGGAGGAGGGAGCACGGGGGTTAGCTGCAGCCCAGATCCGCAGGCTGACCAAGGCTGGCTGGTCTTGTCTAGGGTTCGAGGGTCTCCGCAGGACCCCTGGCGCTGCTGGCCTGAATCGGGATTCCCTGCAGCCATGCAGGGTGGGAGCATGGTGAACGTCTGCCGCGTACAGCCCCAGCAGCCTCTTTCCCTCTGGGCTCTGCCCTGGTCAGGGAAATCCCTGCTCCCGGTGAGCACGGGGTGGCCGGGGGTGTCAGTGCCTGTGCCCTGCCCCCCTGGCCCTGGGGTTGCCGTGTGGCTCTGGCCAAGAGCCAGGAGAAGAACGGCCTGTGAGGCCCAGGTGAGCCCCGTGACTGCGGAGTGCCTAGTGTGGTGGCTTCACTCTGCAAGGCTCAGGCGCAGAATGCGCCTCTGTCCTTAAGGCCACTGCCTAGAAGTTGCCCGTGTTCCCTCCGATCACTCCCACTGGCCGGAAATGCACCGGGCCAGGGAGGCTGGAAAATGCGGTACTTGCCGCGGGCTCGGCTCCGAGTCAGGTGCTACTGCCGTAGGAGGGCACTCGGGGGGACG